GTCGTCGGGCTGCCGCAGTCGGGCCGTCGTTACACTGCCGGGCGATGGTTCTCCAGTGATGTCACCGCGCGCAGCGTTGCTCTTTCCGCGCACGAGTCAATGCAATTCAAATTGGAAACGGTATCGTTGCTTACCGCCACCGCGGCCGACTCACCAACATTGAGTGATGCGCTGTCGGAGGGTCGAATGAATACAAGCGTGCCGCGTAGTAAGCTGATAGCAGTATGGTGGCGTTTTACCGTCACTGTCGAATGCACGCAGTGGCACTAATTCCCCCGGTATTTATACTATCTATACTATCTATATCTATATTTATACTATTTATACTATTTATACTATACACTATCGGTGTTTTTTCTCGGACGATTTTCAGGGTCTCCACGCTCTGGCAGTTATGGGACATGTTTCCTCTCCCCCCCCCCCCCGCACGGTGTCGCGATTCCTGTGAAAAGGTTGGGAATGATGTGGCGACGCCCTATAAGCGTTCACGCCGAATGAGAGATGCTAAGTGCACTTTCGAGCTTTGTGGCTGTCCATTTTCTACGCTACATGTGGAGGGGCGGGTATCTGATTGAGCGTTTCTTAAGCGTAATATGTGGGAGGTTTTTTGACAGAGTAACGTCACGTTCAGAGGTTAATTTTTCAACTTCTGAGCCTGCATCAACTCTGAGCATTTTAATGTCATGCATCAGTTAATGTTTTTTAGAACGTTTTAAAGCATTACAGCAGTGTCGTGGTCTTCCTTGCTCGACAAACAACACGCTCGTTTTTGTTTCGCAACTCTAGCTTAATTAGTGGCGGCCAAGCGGACGTGATCTTACGAGACATTACCCTTACCACAGCGTTACCAGGAAGGGGGCTGGGAAGGGGGTCACCCAGCGTAATCAATGCGTTATCAGGGAAGCGGGCGGACAAATGACAAAAATGCATGGCCTGTATGGACGGACCCTGCCTGGTTTCGCACTCTGGTAGCCTGAGTGTGAAAAACCAGGGCGTGCACACATGGCAGCCCCGAGGGGCACATGCCCCCTTGCGAAGTTCGTGGCATGAATTAGAATGTATACGTGATCTCCTGTTGATAATTAAAAGTTCCGGTCAGAAGCGTAGAAATGAGAAAAGCCGTTTTTCTCATCTGTATGTTGTCTTCTCTATGGCTGCGATAACATGCGGCGCCGATTTGCAACTCGCAAGATCGGTCACGGGGAGAAATTGAAAATGTGCCCCCGCCCCCCATTGTGAAACACAGTGTTCGCACCTGATCACATATTTAATATGTGTACACTTCCTTTACTATGCTCCACCTTTATATACACATGTACGCATGTAAATATAAAGGTGAAACGGAACTTTGGCACCACCTCACAGAACCCTTTTCAAAGGCATTGTACACTCCCTTTGCGTCATGCGCAGCGCGTAAGACTCTGGGGTTTGTCTAAAAACCCTCGCCACACGCTGAGCGTCGCTCGTCGTTCGCGCGCCACATGAGGCCACAACGCACCATGAACCCCTACGCTGATCTCCGAAGTCCTCGATCAGATCCGCCCGTCTTCTAACAACCGCGCTTGTTGCAGTTTCTCGGCCGTGTGCGCCAACAACCACCCGGTGGCCAACCTGCTGGTGGGCTTCATCTACAATGAGAACCGCACGCCTCGCTGGCGAGGAGTCCGCTGCTGCACTTTCGCGCGACCGGGGCAGTAGGCGGTCCGACCTGCTGCCCTTCCCACGGCTGGAGGAGTCAGAATCCGGTGTAGAGCTGGGGATTGGCGTGCACTTTCGAATTCGAATCTTTGGGAATCTTCGATTGAGATGGAGATTTGAGACGCCACGTACATTTCCTTGGCGTTGGACTTTGCATCGAATTGTCAACATTTTCACGTCAGGTAGTCCACTTCTGAAACGTTTTCCTCCGTGACTCACCGATTGACGCGTTTCCCAATCCACTCAAAATAGATGCAGGGGCGTAGATGTAAAAAATGAAATAACACACCACGGGTGAATAAGATCTGTGATCGACGCGGCAGTGACATACACGAGCTACCATTGCCTTGCTGAAGCACAATTAGAGCTCTTAGTATACCTAATACGCTTTCGCGTCCTTAAATGAGAGATTTCATGGCTGGGCTGTGGTTTCTAGAATTCAAAAGCACAATTCTCATATTTTGAATACTGGTCTGCGGACTTCAAGGACTTGAAATATTCCAATCCATTAGAACCCTTTCGAATCCAAGCTCTCGTTGCGTCTCCCGTTTCTGCTCACGGTCGCTTCAGGCGGGACCCTGCCCCTGTTTCTGCTCTCGGCCGCTTTAGAAGGGACCCTGCCCCTGTTTCTGCTAACGGACGCTTCAGAAAGGACCCTGCCCCTGTTTTTGCTCTCGGCTAGGATGGTATGGTGATGCCCTCTGCTCGTCACGCCGCCGGAATGGTAGAAGTTCCGCCCGCTTTCAGACCCTGCGATGGACGCCATATACTATAAAAGATGTCGTGAAACAGCAGCAACGGGACCAAGCAGAGAATCACACATTGTGGTTTACTCCCGAAGGAAACTAGTCGAATGGAAAAAGGGTGGGGGACCAGGAAGGTCCACCTACTTTTCGTAAAAGTGCAACATTCACTCTATGGTGACCCATGAAAGAATCCGCTTCACGCCGATATTTGGACATGTCAGATGATGGTGCGTTGCTTTGCCCTGTGACCCGCGTAAATGGATTGGAGGGCCCGCCGTGATGGCGTGATGAAAATAGCCTCCTGTGACGCGTGCCTCGCGCCTACGATCTTAACTCATAGCTCTTAACCCAGACTGGGGATGCATGAGCGTATGGATCGGAAACACGGATCGCCCCGTTGTCTTTGTACCGCGTTCACAATGCTTCAAGTCACTGGCCAAACCTATCTGGTCCTCGGCATCAGTATTGCCATCTGGACTCCTCCATTGCAACCACTGACGGCCTGTGGTACGCTTTCTCCCGCAGGACGTTTGTGTTTGCAGCTTTGGTCGTTGCCTTGGTGGCAGTGTGTCACACACAATCCGTCAGCAATTTAGGAAGCTTATTCGAAACAACGTAAGTTGATGAGTGCGATTGCGAGGAATATTATGGACATAGATAAGACAGTAGTAACAGCCTTATGACTCGATTACTCGGAGAAAAACCAGAACCAGATCTCATTCGCTTCGTTTTTATCCGAAGGATAATGTCATTACTGCTGCCTTATATAAACTTCGTTGAATGTTCCATTACCTTGCTGACCAGCTCCACCCAGCTTGGGACGGTGAACACGCGAGCAACCCCATTCAATATTCGTCTTGCGCTACACAATGCTTCGGCATATGACAAATATCCTAAGAACACGCGATGTGTAATATATGCGTCAGTGGACACAGCCGTCCACGCCATGCCGACGAGTGGTTACAGGAAAGCGACTTGGATCCTGATTGTTCAAGGACAAAAACAAGGTGTGAAGCAGCCTGATACATCCCACGACGATAAACAAACGCTTGGCTAGAAGAGCGTAAGTCTGTCGCATGTAGCTGGATATGGGAAAACGACTCATGAAATGCGGCGGAAAGCAAGGTTGAACCAAACCAGCGCATGAGTGCTTGACTTGTCGGCAAGAATGCTTCTCGCGCAGCGGTTCACATTCACAAGCTCCCAGGCAGCGGGAGCTGCCAATCCATTCCTTCTCACTTCACCTGGCTGCTCCAGGTTCCATGCCACATGACGCGCTACAGCCGCCGCGAGATGCTACATTGCTTGGAAGAACAAAACGCTGCAAGTTCCCTGAAATTGCTAAGGACCAAGGTCGAGTACAGCCTGCATGTCTGGAGAGTGCAGACAAGACATCTATGGACATATAATTTGCATGACTGAAAAATGTTTCTGTGCGTTATGTAGGCCGGTCCAGATGCCCTTGCCTGTGGCCCATACTCCGGTCCCAGGAAATGTAGGGTCCCAAGAGTAACAAGCATCGGCTGAGGACGTTCGCAGCGCGGATAGCTTCTTGTGACCACTACAGCTCACCAAAACGCAAAACGCACTTACCGAGAACACAACACGAATATGCATTAGGGGGCTCTGATCGCTGCGCTTTAGGGGCTCTGATCGTTGCTGGAGCTCACTGGGTTCCTACTGGGACCCTCCCGCTGTCCCCGTATCCGTATCCCCGTATCACCAACCCTGTGCACCTACGCGCACGTCAACGTTGTGCACTGTGACGATGAGGTATAGTAGCGTTTGAAGATGTACTCAAAACGTTGTCATGCCTGCTACCATGACTGGATACTGGCAATACGGTTGAATTTTCAATACACAACCCGGCCCTCTGGTAGCGTGTATGATTGTGCACGGCGACTGAATCGCCATTTCTTCTAGCATATGTCGTTGAGAGTCCACCTTGAGTGCACGCTGTAAACCATGATGAATTAGCACGCCGTATCGTACCCACATACCCCTATTGACGCCAGACATGCCATGTTAATGAATGGGGGGGGGGGGGAGGACTGTCGGCACTCCCGGGTCACGCCAGCACCACTCGGCGTCGCTCTTGCAAGGTGAAAGAGGACGGTAACCGCGCGTGTGCCAAACACGATGCTCTGCCGCTCCAAAGACAATGCGGCGTACCTCTGCTTGAACGGTGGACGCACTGACCATGCTCTGAGCTTCTAGACACAACATGAAACCCATGGCGACACGTAGTTCCAATTCATCACCCGAATCACAAAAAGCGCCCAGCAAGGGGATTGCAGCTCACCCCAACCAGCGCCGGCGTTGGTTTCAAACATCGAAAATTTCTAGTGAGATCGGCTTAAACCACATCCCGAGGGCCGCTGGCGTATAAGGCCTGGTCCGACGGAGCATTGGGGGCAAGGTCGGGCGTATGTTCGTTGACCATTCTAGCCGATGCGTTCTTCAGCACCAAATCTCGTCAGCACGCCCATACGCGTGCGGTCACACCGCCGCTCACTCGGCTGCTTCTTCTCAGAGGTCAACGCACGTGACCTCCTCTTTATTCGCTTGTGCTACTGAACTCTAACGACGACGGTCGTGACTGACGGAAGCCGTTGAAGTGGGTGGGACACCCGCATGCGTCATTAGCATTCCGCCACACTAGCCGGCGTCAGCTCGCCCAAGACCCGCCACCAACGGCCTCCAAAGTACAGGGCGAGCAACAGCATTGGCGTACCGGTGGATGGATCACGACTACGAACACGAATGCGCCTCACCCCCTTGTTGCATAATGCAGTCACACACAGCGGCAACACGTGCGTAGGCACCATCTGACACGGATTCAAGCAACGCACCGCCGTCGATCTATATACTTCCTTGAAAGGGTGATCATCCTGTAGTTAGCTGATTCCAAGGGCCGAACACAGTTGAGGCGGGCTTGTTGTATTACGACGACAAATCACAACGGGAGTGTCGAGAGCTATCACATGACGTCATTGGCCGCCCGTGAAGATCTGGGCACTTTGACCCAAGCGGCCGGGGGCATGGCCACAAGACCTCGTCACACGTCCAGTCAATCGGTCAGCTAAACATCACGTAGTCCTTGCCCTCCTCCAGCCTGAGGCTGCCCAGGTTCGCCTCAAACTGACCGCCCGTAAGGTCCATTTTGACACAGATCACGAAGGGCTTCTGAGCCTTGCTAAAGTGCAGGATGGGCACACGAGGCTTCGGGGTGAGATCGCTGTTCTCGTAAACATAAACGCCTTGCTTGATCTTCCGCTCATCTACGTCACAGAAGGCCGCAACCTGCAGTGAAATCGGACGCAGGGTGAGAGAAAACTACCAACACTCGAGGAGCACCGGGGACATTCGTTGCACGATTGTTCCGTGGCCAGCACATACAAACAACATGAGAACTCAGAAGTACGGCTGGGCGACCGTGAAACTAACGCATTACATCCGGCGATCGTGGAAGTCCCGCAATGGTGGCGGATGAGAATGGCACACAGGACCGTGCATGCCCGCTGCCCCCAACCACGTGTACGTGAGTGGCTGGTAGAGTGCGATGCCGTGCTAAACCACGCGGCAATGCTGAATGCCCGCGAGACACGCGCCAAACAACGAATGCCAACTTCAGAGCCGGCCGTACGTTCGCACGCTCAATCAACGTCGAAGTTCGAAGCAATTAGTGCAAAACAACGGCCACAGCAAGAGCGACGGCAGCTGACCAACCCCGCCGGCAGCTGACCAACGCCGAACACGCGGCATTCGCGCCGGACAATCGGCGCTAAGACGGCTCCAGCATGCTTAGCAAGCTTTAAGGCGAGCCCCTACAGCCCAATGGTAGCTGAAAATGAGGCGCCGACGGCGATGATCGGCGATGTCGCCGCCCTGTAAAACAACCGACTCCACAGTCTCGTGACGCTTACAAAGCGAGGCCATCTGACCACGGTTGCCACCGACCTTGTCCCTGTACTCGGCCGGCAGACTGCGGTACAGCTTTCGGCCTTGCTTCCCGCCGTTCCAGATGGTGAAGGCGGGCCAGGAGAGTAGCCAGTGGCGGCAGAGGCGCTCCACGCGCAGCTGCCATATGGTGTCCCTGCCGGACGGCCAGACGCCACGGGGCTGTGACGTCACCTCAGCGCAAGAGCCGCCGGGTCACCGCGCGACTGTGGAGGCCTCCTCAAAGGGGTCCGCTAACGCCTTGTCTAAGGCACGGCTGTGGGGGCCTCCACAGAGCAACGCCTTGTGTAAGACACGCCGATCAAGCTGACGACACGTGGACGGTCGTTTCAACATTTCGCTGTCATCTTAGTGGAAAACAGCCACCAGTGATTGCCTCAGGGGCGGCTTCGGGCACGCATTTCAGAAGGTGGACGTAGGCAACCGCGCGCTCGAAGTGGGATACCACGGTGCTCATCGACTTTGGCTAACAACTGGCGGAAGCTCTGGATCACATCAGCGGCTCCTCCGATCCCCTTTTCGGCCACAGACGAGCCATACCGTGCATGAGGGTGCCCAGGCTCTCACTCATGTATGGAGAAGGTGGCGGCGTCTGGGTGATAACGATACACGAGAACCTCCTCGTCGACCCGCGCCACACCACCACCGCCATCTAGGTGTCGGTAGAAGAAGATCAAGTCCTCGGGCGTGCCGCGGCCAGACTCGTCGAACCCGCCAACGCTGGCAAATGACAGCATGCCATAGAGTGTCTCCATACGAGGTTGGCGAGATGGAACAGCACACATCATCGTTCATCTGACAAATATTTTCACACTGAGATGACGTGCCTGAGTAAGAAACAAGATAGACTGAGTCAACCAGGAGCAAGAGCAACATGTCAAGTGTCTCCTGGTAACAAACGCCCGTATGTCCAGATTAGCCAAGGGGTGGGAGGCGAGGACTGCAAAAACTTCAGCGTTCCATAACGGACATGTGGCACACACATTGGTAACACCAACAGGTTCAGGTGCTACAGCCTTCCACTTACATGGTTTCTCTATGTCAGTTACCAAAGTGCAATATCTATGATCGTGCCCTAGGAAGTGAAGCTTAAACAATGCATTTTATATATATATATATATATATATATATATATATATATATATATATATATATATATCAAGCTGTGTGACAGCTGTTAACATGACGCCCAAAACAGCCCCAGTCTGGACCAGCCTCAATGACGTCCACGCGTGGCGTCACAGCGTCACACACGTGACGCCATGCCGACGTCACACCAGGCCAGGTAACGTCAAACGCCCCCCCCCCCCCCCCCCCCCCCGCCGCTCACCGGTCGTACACCGCGCGGCTGCAGTACCACGTGGGCATGATGACCGTAGGGCCGTGTGACGTCACCACCTGCTGCGTCAGCTGACGGCGGTCGAGCGCGTTGGCCCAGCGGGTGTAGCGCTCCGTGGAGCCGGCCGGATCACGAACGAACCGGCCGCCGATGATCTGAGGGGCAGGACAGTGCTGCCATCTGTGCGTGCGGCGGGCACTCTTGCCGCCACCTCTCCATCGCAAGTCATATGGTGTCAGCTTGCATAATATCGGGCTATCTACGGAAGGAAGTTGTTTGGACCTCCCTCCGCGTCTGGTGTTAGCATGAACATGGTGACACCGTTGACAGTACCCGTGCTATCATGGCATCGCAACGCACAACGCACACGCAACGCCAACGCACCAGGCGAAGACAGAAGTGTGAACAACTGTCTCAGTAGTAATGTTGATGCCTTGTCTGAATCATTCTGGGAGCCCCCAGGCTAGTTACCGGCGGCTCTGAGGTTCTCACCATTATACCACATCAGACATTCCCGAGCAGCGAGGGTTGATGAATGCACAGCGAAAAAGGTAACGCTCTCCACATTTCACTGTTTGGCTCATACCGTTACACTGGTGAGACGGTAAGAGCATTTCGTATGTGGTAACTATACCACGCAAACTTTGGCATATAGAATAAGAAGACGATGAGAACATTCGGATCTTTCGGACGCGCCATCAAATCACAGCGATTGCGTATTACATCGCGTGTTGCACAAGTGATCTTTTTGTATCATGCGTTCAACATTCAACCCTTTGCTGAGTCCTGTCCGGGATGCCCTTGACTTGGATGGGGAAAATGGCGCCGGCTGCGCGTACAAAGAATTCAAAAAGGTATGCCAGATGCAACAGTGTAAAAGTCAAGAGTATCAATAGAAAACAGCCAATCAGCAGTCACCTTGCTCCAGCCTCGTTGCGGGTACGAACTGGTGTCGCAAGCTCCGAGACATCCAGCACTCTGACACACCTTAAACACCAATCAACAGCCACCTTGCTCTAGCCTCGTTCCGTTACGAACTGGTGTCGCAAGCTCCCAGCCATCCAGCACTGACACACCTTAAATAACAACTTAAACACACCTTTGCCCGTCCCGGTGGCTCAGTTGGTTAGAGCGTCTGCATTCCGACCCACTCATCCGTGGCGGGATGGGTTCGAGTCGCTTTAGGGCGCTCGCTATTTGCCCTTGGCAGGTATGGCCTGTGGCCGGTGGCAGCGGTCGCGCTAAAGGTCAGTTGACGTCAGGGGGCAGGACGGACCGTGCCGAGCATTACGGCACGTTAAGCTTTCGCCACTAAATTCTGCCGTTGCCTGGAACTGCGCGATCGGATGGTGGGGGGTCAGGGCTCACAGAACAAGCACTGCTTAGCGTGAGCGCTGATCCCAGAAATCCATCCATTCAAAGGATTCGGACCAAATTTTAAAAAAAAAACAATCAGTGGCCACCTTGCTCTAGTCTCGTTGCGGGTACAAGCTGGTGTCGCAAGTTCCCAGTCATCCAGCAATATGACACACCTTAACTACCAATCAATGGTCACCTTCCTCCAGCCTTGTTGCACCATCCAGCACTCCGACACGCCCCCAACTGGCACGCGCACCCACACACAATATTGCATAGGACGAGCCTGGCCGGTGGGCGGACCAGTGCCATCTACTCACCGCATCCGGACTGCGGAGCGCCGCCAGGTGCTGACAGCGTAGCCGGCACGGCCGCATGACGTCATCCTGTCGGCCAGGCCCGGATTAGCGGAGGGCGCCGGCGGGCGCGCAAGTCACGGCCAACGGCGGCAACACTAGAAATGACTTCACAGCTGACTGCTGTGATTTTGTGTGAGTGGGATTGGAGCGCTGCCAAAAATCCTGCACATTTAAAACTATCTGTGATGGTTAGCATGATGACTTCCCCACCAATGGCTCATTTTCCATTGCATGTGCTGGATATTGCTTTCCACACTCTATGTTATTTACATGTTTGTAAGACAATGATGTGGATCATTTAAACATAATTAATGCATTAATACCCATGTATGTGGTCTGTGTGTGATTGCATGAACTCCTTATTAAAGGATAGGCTTGCTTAATGCAAAGTCACTTATGTGGTCCTTACCATGCTCTTTGATGGTACTTACAGAGTCAAGAAAGCACAAAAAATTCCCAGAGCTTTGAGCAACAGCCTGGTTTTTTGCATAACCCACTGAAAGCAAAATGACAAAATTAGCCTACAAAATAAGGACTAAGTGGTTTGAAACTGAAAACAAACAAAAAATTATATCATGAGGTACAAATCTGCCACAGCCCAAAACACATGAGCAGAGACAAGTGTGTTTCAGCATAGGTAAAGGAAAACTAGACAATGCAATGACACATGTATGCATGCATGCACACATGCAGGCATGTGCACACACACACACACATACAAGCAGCTTCAATATTTCTTTTATGAATATTTAAAGTATGTCAAACCACCTCCATCTTCAAAGTCAAGTGCTTGTCAGCTTCTTTTTATGTATACCTCCCATTGCTGGTGTGCCACTAGAGACCACCAAGGCATAGCCCTTGTCTGTCAGGGAGGCCCTGAACTGCTCCAGGATGGCTTCAGACTGGTCTGTGCAGCCATCAAGATATGCTGAGAGTTCAGCTCTCAGGCTATGGTCTTGGCTGAGCACTGACTGGAGGCATGCAGAGAGCCACTTCTCAGCATTGTGGATGGGCAAAATGATGCTCTGAAAGCACAAAGAAGTTCTTATATAAGGAAATGTATGGAACTGTGACTAAAAAACACAAAAAGCACAACTTTTTACATTTACAAAAAAACCTTTTCATGATTTGATAAGTTTCATATGCGCATAACACTGTTAGCATTAATCAGAAAATGTGCATGACTAGAGCTGCAGTTTATCAAAGCCAAAGAAAATTGCAAGGATACTGGTGAGTAAAAAGACTCATGCTAAAAATATGCCTCTTTTACATCTGATATATTACAACATAAAGCCAATGCAAAGCAGTTAACATGCCTACCACCAGATGAATTATAAATAAAATGGCAGAAAGTTATTCATGTAAGGCATGACATTACACACTTTCGCTAACAAGTATCTGCTTAACCTCAGTCTCACCCACCCAAAAGCCCAACTCTGCAACTAAGTTCTACAACTGCAGGACAGTGAGATACCATGGTTTTGCCTTATGAAGTATAATGATACAACGCCATGGCCACATCGATCAGTCAAAAAAAAAATTCAGTATCACTTACGACATCCATGCTTGAACGTTCTTATGCCACAGCCAGCAGTACCTAATACCATTGCAAATGACTCCAGTGCCAGCCCAGCAAACCCTAATCCGCTACCAAATAATAACTACTGGCAGCAAGGCGATCTCAAGAATTCCGTGGTCTCGTCCGCCTCGATCATGTAAGCGCTGGTGACTGCAGCTCTATTTTGTCGCTATCGCGCTATGATGCATCTTATTTCAAGGTGTATAAATATATATGTTTTCTTGTGTAGATACAAAGGAGAAAATCTAGGATGAAGCGAAATGCAACTTTAACGGAAGAATTGAAATATATTGTGACGGTTTTGATAATCTATTCTAACAGCAAGTGTCATACCATGGAAATTGTAGATATTCTCGGGGTTTACTACTGGTTGGTGGCAAATTTATTCATGCTAAGGTTTTGGCGCGCGTTCTCTTTGGCGCACTCGTATTGCGTAGGACCATTTCGTGTTGTGGGTGGAGGCGTACCGAAGGGGATGAGGAATTAATTTTCTCACATAATAAAAAATATCATCATTGTCTTTGCCGCGCAGTTTGAAATAGGTGCCTCTTACTGGCTCAGTGTGATATTACTGGGGTGTCCGAGTTGTTGGGGATACGTGTTAGGTGAGCGATTCGTCAATTTGTTGCACACATTTGTTAATGATGGTTCGTATGTCACTTACGCGCGAGCATTAGCGCACGGGTGTGATATAGGCGTCTGGCAATGTTATTTACAGTGTTCTATTCAATACCAGTTTCAGGTGTGCATTGAATAGTGAGTGCACTGGTACATCTGTGAACACTTGTAGTTTTTACAGTTGCTGTTTTACCTCTTCATCTTCTTTGTCCTCATTGCAAACTAGTGGACATTCTACCTGATACATATGAATTTATTTAATCTGAAATGTTGAGTAAATGAATTTTAGGATGAATGACTGGCCTTGACCAGCTGTGTGACTCATGTTGATGCATCTTGGAGCCCCCTTGACAGGCCATGACTCAATGACTGCTGGAACTAATGGATGGCTTTTTCAGGTCTCTGCTCAGCATACATTGAGGAAATGTCACAGCGATCAATCACGTGAGCATTCTCCTTTGCTATCTGCAGCTGTGTTCTCTGCGCAAGCTGTGGCAAGATCTCAAATAGTGATGATAAGTTATGAAAATATGTCATTCAGCCCATATGGCTTGCATGGTCACAGCTCTTACACAAGCTATGTATTCTGCTGCAGTACTACATTGCAGATTTCTTGACATTTGATGTGGTTTTCTTTAAAATGGACATTCTTTCAATAGGGATATTCTATGTCTTTGTAGGTTGAATGTGAAAGTGTCATTTATTGTTTGTAGCTGAAATAGTATAATTGAAGCTTATGAGTCATAACTGTGATGAGAGGGGCAAACAGAAGTTTAACAAGTTCTGGGCATTGTCCTCATGGCTGGAAAGGTAAATACTGTGCTGTGTCTGAGAAGTTCTTGATGAAACTTATCATTTTTCAGATCATTTTTCTCTCCAAAGGCCAAGAAACCAGACAATGTTGAGAAAAGCCAGTCTAAAACACCAGAGAAGTAAGTCATTTGGAAAACTATATTGAAGATTAGGCACATGAGTGTGCCATTCTTCATCCAAGACTCTCCTATGGCTGGAAGGGCACTGTGCCAATGCTTGACTGGACATCTTAGGTTACAGAACCTTGCTATCACCTACAGGCTGAGACCTGGGCTTTGGCCACAGCTAGCTCACGCCAGGTGTCTGACCATTTCTGCTGTCTCATTCAGGAAGCAGTGCAAGGATGGAAATTTGTCTGATGAACCAGATGGTGATTCACCCATCAAACAGATCAGGAAACGCAGGCCGATGATTGAAAGCGACTCAGAGGAGGAAAGAAGGTTAGTGTGGAGATAGCCATAGCCTTGACTGAGCCAAAAAGTTTCCAGCTTCTTGCCACACTGACAATGGACCAAGCACATACAGGAGATGCCCTCCAGACCTTTGAAAACCAGTCTGGCCTGAGCCACATGTTCTGTTCACTTTATACATCTGTATCCTCACTCTCACTGTCACCCTCCTGTTTGCACTCACAGCTGTCCAAGAGTGGTGCTAGTATATTCGCCTCATCACTGGTTGAGTTCACCAGCCATGTTATTGTACCTTGTGCTGTTGCTGGGGGGGGGGGGGGGGGAATCTCAGCCTATACCATGTCCTGTCTGTGCTTCCATTGGCATGTTTTGTTTGATGATTCACCTGCCAGGCCCAATGCACAGGAAAAACACATGACATGTTTGATGTTTGTGGAATGTTTGTGGGTGTATCCAACACCACATCCACTGCATGGTATTGGCAACAGTTGTGTGTGTTGATGGCTCTTGTGCTTGTATGCACTGCTTTATTAGTTTGTTAACCATCCATTGTCTAGAGTAATATGCGCTGCCATTATGACATGTGTGTGTGGATCTTGGACTTGTTACATTCAGCTACTGTGATACCATAAGCTTCTCTGCAAAGTGCCACCAGTGGTAAAGCAGCTTATGGACTGTGTTTGGACTCTCCTGCAGTTCAATGAAGAGCGACGGAGATGGCCAAGCCAGGAACGGCTCCCCCAAGAAGCAGGTCAAAACCGAAGCTGCGGCCCCTGTCAAGCAGGAGTCCTCCCCGCCGGTCTCAACCGCAAAAAACGGCAAGGCACCGCTCCGGAAGACAGGTGAGGGCCAGCAATCCTGTATGAATGGAAGACGATATGTCGGTGGGACACAGTCTGTGTGCCAAGGAGGGTTTCTGGCGGCAACTTGGGACCGCGCTGAGAATCGCGTGAGAGCTGGGGGGGAGGGGATATCTCTCACCCGGCGGAGGGGGGGGGGGGGGGGGGGAGGGCTCCGGCCGGGTCTGTGGGCCTTCGTACTAGTTTCAGTTTGAATTGCATGGTCATCACTCATGGAGTTGTTGGTTTGTTCTCTACAATTTGTCGGTGTTCGTCAGTTAATGGTGGACGTTAAGTCAGGGTGGCTCGGGACGCTATCGATATAAGTTGTCGATTTGATCGGTAAAGAAACAGGCGGTTCTCATGTACATACGAGTGTTCATGTTGTTTTCCTCAAGCGTACTAAAAACCCAAGAGTGAACACACCCACTTTCCACATGCAGGACTTCATTAGTTAGCCCCTACTGGGTTGGAATGCTGGCATCCAAATGACACCTCACCGCACATATGTTCGCAGCGAGGAAGAGTGCCGTTGGTAGCGTGTCCACGGAGGCCAAGCAGAAGAGCCTTCTGGGGAAGATGAAGTCCACAAGTCCCAAGACGGCCACTGCTGACCGCGACGAGCAGGCCAAGTCCTCCAGTCCTGAGCCTGACGCCGAGGACGCCGCCTCTTTGTCTCCGAAAGCCTCCCCGAAGGAGACGTCGAAGCCGCTGCCGTCCGACTCGACCGTTTCCTCTAGCCGTCGGCTGAACGGCAAGGACGGTGACGGCGACAGCAAGACTTCGAAGCCCGGTGGCCGGGCGACGAAGGCAAAGGCGGTCGGGAAGGGGAAGGTGGGGGGCAAGGGGAAGACAGAGGTGAAAGGAAAGAGCGAGGCAAAGGGGAGGAAGCGGAAAAGTGACAGTGACGCCGGCACGAGGAACAAGAAGGAGCGGTGTTCTGGTTCGGCTAGCGAGGAGGACGAAGCGGCCGAGGGGGACGGGGCCGGCCCGGAGGCCGAGCAGCCGGCAGAAGTGAAACAGGAAGCGGCAGTGAAGCGTGAAGAGGCTGATGGCGAGGATGCAACAACCAAATCCAAGGGCTCAAAAGGTGAGATGCCTTTACATGCACTGCCTACCGCCGTTTCGGCTATTGTTGCCATGTCTTACGGTCGCTGTCATACCAGCCCTAGAGTGTGGTGCTGATAAACAGGTTAAGATGGCGACAACACATGGCCTTGCATCATGTTTGTGGACAAATTTGTCTCGCCTTTGCATGTATGTGCTGTGTCTGGGAAAAATTTCATCTTCGAAAAGTGGTGTGGGAAAAGGGCAATCGTCGCGTGTCGTTTATCGGTGCCGTCCTTGCGGTTGTTGCTCCCATTTTCGGCGATTTTTCGCCACTTGTGGTGTTATCTTACGACGCCAGGAAATTTTATGATAGCCAACCCGTTGCCTTAGCTGGTTAGAGCGCCTGCCTTCTGACCCGTTTACCCGTGGCGGGGTGTGTTCGCGTCGCTTTAGGTGCTCGCCATTTACGTTTAACACGTGTGGCCTGCGGCCGGTGGCAGCGGCCACGCTAGGGGTCAAGTGACGTCTGAGGGCGGCAAGGACCGTGCCGAGCCATGCGACACGTTATAATATCGGCACCAAGTTCCTGCCGTTTAACTGGAATTGCAGAACCGGATGGTGGGGGTCATTGTTCGCTTGACAAGCAGCAATTAGCATAAGCTCTGATCCCAAAAATCCATCCGTTCAAAAGGTTCGGATTGAACCTTAAAAAGCTCTTCATGTCTGTTGCTTTTTATGTATCTGAATAATGATATCGAATAACCTGGTTTTCTGTGTGGAGGTAACGATTCTTACCCAGCTCCATGTACCTGCCCGACCCTCGTGACGCAGCTGGGAGGCTGCACTCCTGTCCTGACCGTGCCGCGCGTGTCTTCTCATCCCTTCTCTGCTCAGTTGGTAACAGGCCTGAACTGTGCTATTCGTGACCCCGTCGTGCATCTTTCATTTGCTCATGCGGCCCACTTCCAGACGTGAAAAAGGAGAGGCCAATGACTGGAATATTCGGCCTTTCGAACAAGTCAGATTCGAACGGCCAAGCCAAGACCGACGGTAACGAGTACGACCCGTCGAAAAAGAAGTATCACCCGGTGAAAGACGCGATATGGAATGCCGGGCAAAAGTGAGTTGTGGGCTTGAGAGTTATAAATAGCGGCGTTGCGAATACCTCCTCTTTAGATGAACACAACTTGAGTAACGAATGCAAAAATGTAGTCTTTCGCAGTATATCACCACTTCCTAGGACCCATCCAGGCCGTCGCGTTTCCCCAACGTGGAGGAAAAGCCTCCGCTGGCTCGGCGTATCGCGACGTTGAGAAATTGCGAGAACTGGTTATCAGGCTGGGACATCGGTATCCCCACGTTATCACACAGTTCGGATCCTGTGGGTGGCAAGGTTAGCATGTACACGGCATGCTTTTAGAGTGGAGGACCCCGATCTCAATCCGATGCGAGAAAGCGAGTATTTGGTTAAATTCCTGTGAGAGCGGTGAATGTCGTAGGATCAAATGCCGATTTTTGCGGCACGTGAGAGGCAACGGGTTTCCGCATGGCCTCTTGTTGTCCCCTTTGGGTCCCTCAGAGGCTGCTGCCGACTTAGTCAACCTGTCGCCTGCTTTGTCGCGGACGTGCTCGACTCCCCCGCTCCCTCAACGGCCTGCGTCCCGCCGGGCGCTGCCAGCCATCCCGCGGTGACCTCTCCGGACAACCTTCTGCACCGCAGGGCACCGTACCCCCCGCTCACGTCTGGCAGCCGTCACCCCCCGGCCCAGACCACCTGATCCACGTGATGCCGTCCGTCCCTGATCCCGTCGGATTGTAGTCGTCGCTGACCACCGGCGCGGTCGCAGGGCACCGTACCCCCGCTCACATCTGGCAGCCGTCACCCCCGGCCCAGACCACCTGATCCACATGACGCCGTCCGTCCCTGATCCCGTCGGATTGTAGCCGCCGCTGACCACCGGCGCGGTCGCAGGGCACCGTACCTCCCGCTCACATCTGGCAGCCGTCACCCCCGGCCCAGACCACCTGATCCACATGACGCCGTCCGTCCCTGATCCCGTCGGATTGTAGCCGCCGCTGACCACCGGCGCGGTCGCAGGGTGCCGTACCTGGCGCTGGCGCGCACGTTCGAGCTGATCGAGAGCACCAGCGCGCGCCTCAAGATGATCGACATCCTCTGCAACTACCTGCGCTCGGTGGTGGCGCTCAGTCCGGACGACCTGCTTCCCTCCGTATACCTGTGCCTCAACCGGCTGGCGCCCGCTTACCATGGTCAGTGGGCGCTGCCGGCAGCGCTTCGCTGCGGGCCGGGAGCGGGGTTAGATTGGTGCTGCCGCGGCGGCGCTGGTGACGCGGTGGTGTGTTGTAGTCGGTGAAGTGTTTTGTTCAACTGTCGCAATGACTTGGTCTGGCCTTGTTTGTCTAGTGCTGTGTCATCACTTTGGTACCACCGTGGGGTATTTGTGGCAGTTGTTTACGAGCTATTGCTGTAGCACTGCCCCTCTCAACTCTAGTCCAGTCGTAGTCGCAGATGCGTTGCATGGGCCATTCGCACAGCACGCTGTCACAATAGGCTCAGTGGCCAGTTTGTCCTTCACGGCGTCACTGGCATATGGTTACGAAGGGAGGACAACCTGTCCGCTATCTGACGAACTCTGAGCCCTCCACATATTGACCTTTTCTTTGACCCCGCACCCTCACGCGTCGAGCTGGGCTGGACGAACCCTGAACTCTTCACGCTGACCCCCGCCCCCCTCTCCCCTCCCCCTCCCACCAGGCATCGAGCTGGGCTGGGCGCACCCTGAAACTCACCACACTAACCTCTCATGTCCCCCCCCCCCCCCCTGCCTCCCATCAGGCATTGAGCGGGAATGGACGAACCCTGAACCCTCCACATTGACCCCGCCCCCTCCCCCTCCCACCAGGCATCGAGCTCGGCATCGGCGAGGGCGCCATCACCAAGGCGGTGGCGCTGTCCACGGGCCGAACCGTGGACAAGGTGCGCGCCGAGGCGGGCGAGCGCGGCGATCTGGGCCTGGTGGCCGAGGCCAGCAAGACCCGCCAGAGGCTGATGTTCCGGCCGGCGCCGCTCACCGTGGCCGGCGTATTCCGCGCGCTGTGCCAGATCGCCGAGATGACCGGGCACGCGGTGAGGAGAGAGGCCGAGGGCTGAGGAGGGGAGGTCGGGGTGAGGTGGGTTCGCGGGTATGGGTGAGGTCCGGAGGGACAGAATCGTGCATGGGTGACAGTGATGTTGAGCGCAGCTAGTTCGCGTTCAGACTGCATGTCACTACCAGCATGTACGGGCCGGGTACGGGTTTTCCTAGCCATACGTCAATTGTGAACCGAGAGGGCAAACCAGTTTTCGCACATGAAACTTAAAATCTTATATCTCATACAGTTTGCGACCCCAGAATTGTGAGACCTTATGACAGCGATGGCTTGATGATCCGGGAGTGTGGTTTGCTAAAACGGCCGTTGGCGCTACAGGCGATGAACAAGAAGGTGGAGAAGATGCAGTCGTTGATGGTGGCCTGCCGGCACGCCGAGACACGCTTCATCGTCCGCTCCCTGAGTGGCAAGCTCAGGATCGGCCTGGCCGAGCAGTCAGCCCTTCAGGTATCCATGGCAACGCTCGCTTCCCCGACGGGCAGAACCGCGTGAAACCACGGTGACGTGCGCGTTAGCGGGTCAGGTAGCCATGGCAACCAGCGCTTCTCGGTTGGCTTGGCATGGTGACTTTGGTGTATGCCTGCGGCGACAGTCGGCGTCACGTGTTTGCTTACTGCCGCCCGTCTGCTTACTGAGGATGGTGACACGACGGAGATTTGACTGCCGTGGTTGTATGAGCAGCTCATCGGCAAGAAAGGCCGAAACAAACTTTTTTTTGGATGTACGATGACGCCCCTCCATCTGAACAGGCCGAGTGACGGCTGATGAACGCCTCGTCTTTCACCAGACCTGTCTGGTGACTGAGGCCCCCCCCCCTTCCCCCCTCCCACCAGGCGCTGGCCCAGGCGTGCGTGGTGACCCTCCCCTCTCTCCTCCCACCAGGCGCTGGCCCAGGCGTGCGTGATGACCATCCCCTCTCTCCTCCCACCAGGCGCTGGCCCAGGCGTGCGTGATGACCCTCCCCTCTCCTCCCACCAGGTACTGGTCCAGGCGTGCGTGATGACCATCCCCTCCCTCCTCCCACCAGGTACTGGTCCAGGCGTGCGTGATGACCCTCCCCTCCCTCCTCCCACCAGGCGCTGGCCCAGACGTGCGTGATGACCCTCCCCTCTCTCCTCCCACCAGGTACTGGTCCAGGCGTGCGTGATGACCATCCCCTCTCTCCTCCCACCAGGTACTGGCCCAGGCGTGCGTGATGACCATCCCCTCCCTCCTCCCACCAGGCGCTGGTCCAGGCGTGCGTGATGACCCTCCCCTCCCTCCTCCCACCAGGCGCTGGCCCAGACGTGCGTGATGACCCTCCCTTCTCCTCCTCCCACCAGGCACTGGCCAGGCGTGCGTGATGAACCATCCCCTCCCTCCTCCCACCAGGTACTGGTCCAGGCGTGCGTGATGACCCCCCCTCCCTCCTCCCACCAGGCGCTGGCCCAGACGTGCGTGATGACCCTCCCCTCTCTCCTGCCACCAGGTACTGGTCCAGGCGTGCGTGATGACCATCCCCTCCCTCCTCCCACCAGGCACTGGCCCAGGCGTGCGTGATGACCATCCCTTCCCTCCTCCCACCAGGCACTGGCCCAGGCGTGCGTGATGACGCCGCCGGAACAGCCTCGACCAGCCGAGCAGCTGGACGCCACTGCCGGCCTGTCCGCCGAGAAGGCCAAGGCCAAGGTGGAGGAGGCGGCGCTGGTGCTCAAGACCGTCTACTGGTCAGTAGGGGAGGGGGAGCGTGCCTCTCAGTGGTCCTTGGAGGAGGGGAGGTCCAGGACCCCTACGGTAACCATTCCCGCCGCTGCGGAGGGTAGGGTGGTCTGAGTTGATGGGCTGTAATCACGAGGTGACGCCTAGCGACTTTGGAGATGGGGCAGCTGTCCGCATGAACATGGCAGAGCCATGTCGAGTTGACCCGGTCCCATCTCGTGACCATCAGAACCCAGGGGGTCTGGGTCAGCACGGGATTTTGCTCTCCTCCGCGGCTCGGCTTCTCTTGAGGAGCTGACCGCGCCGTTTCTCCGAAACTTGTCGTGAAAAGAGCCTCACTGTCTTCACCTGTGCAGTTGAACCACCCTTCGTGGTGGGAAAGGAGTCGGATAACGCGATTGCGTGCGCGAGGCGACTTGAAAAGCCTGAGGGTGTGATTAAAAGAAGCTGAATAGCCGGTCAGACGCGAGCGCAGCCCCCTGCAGAGCTCGACGCGTGTGGCTGAATGGCCCCGACGCCGAACGCCCTCGGTGCGGCCGGTCACGTGATCTGTGTTGCAGCGAGTGCCCGACCTATGACGAGATCGTGCCGGTGCTGCTGGAGCACGGACTGCAGAAGCTGCCCGAACACTGCCGCATCCGGGCCGGTGTGCCGCTCAAGCCCATGCTGGCCCACCCCACCAAGGGTAGGTAGGGGTTGTGCCGGCCCACCCAGCAGCGGTAGGTAGCATCTTCTAGCAGGGCGCATCTTCCATTGACGTCTTAGAGGTCAGAACAGGTCATTGACCTAAGATGACCTGGGTCGACATTCTGTTTAGGAACATACTGTCTAGCGTAATATTTGTCGCTTATTCAAATGCAAAACTCAGAGCAGTGTTGTATGAATTTGGTCACCATGACCTTCGAAAGGTCAAGCAAGGTCACTGACCTCAAATGGGCTTGCGACCTTTTGCTTAGAAGCAGTTGTCTAAGTTCTGGGGGCACTTTGGAGACCAACCTGGAATTTGACCTTGTTTGACCTTATTTGACCTGAAGTTCATGACCAAGGAAGTTCAAACTGTGGCTTAAGTGAGTTCACGTACAGGTCAGGACACTCCATAAATTTCGTATCTCTAGCTTTCTTAGTTCCCGAGATCTCGGGGGGGGGGGCAAATTGACCCCCACCCTAGCGAAGGGTATCTAGCCGGCCACCCGGGCGCGTGTTAATCGAGTCCTTGGTGGGACTGGAAAGCTTGCTGCGTGGTTGAGTTCTTTGTTTCGTTCGAAAATAACATGCGTTAAGCTTCGATGGAGTTTTGGTTTTGGTTTTGTTGGTTTGCTTTGGGTCAATGATTTCGTTTGGGTTCAGTGGTTTCCCCAGCGGTTTTTTGTGAATCGTTATTCGCGTTGGCAATATTTCGGTTTGCTTATGTTTTGAGGGACATTGACCGAGTCACTGCAACGTGGCGCCACGCTTGCAATGTTTGCAAACCCCACAACAGCGTAAAACATGTTTCGTTTCCCTTCCGACGTGGCGCCCGTGAATCCGTGACCTCTTCAATACCTGGCCGACGCCGCCGCCCCAGGCGTGTCGGAGGTGCTGTCGCGGTTCGAGGGCGCCCAGTTCACCTGCGAGTACAAGTACGACGGCGAGCGCGCGCAAATTCACCTGCTGGAGGACGGCTCGATACACGTCTACAGCCGGAACCAGGAGGACAACACCACCAAGTACCCGGACATCATCGCTCGCTTCAAGGCTTGCCTCACTGGCGATGTCAGGTGAGAGCAGCGTTCACCGATGGCGGAGCTCACTGTGAGAGGAGGGGTGAGAGGCACGGTGGAACGCTGCGACGGATGGGGACCGAACGGTAAGGGACCGCGGAACAGCACTGTGAGAACGGGAAAGGAACGGTTAGCGGCACGGCGAAAATGGAACGGAGTGAGCAGCCCGTGAGCTGGACTGCGAGTGGAACAGTAAATAACGCGGTTTCGAATCTGAGAGTGGAGCCCTGACACGACTGGGGAATGTAACGGGAGCGATTGGGGTTGTTCTCTGAGATGCGCTGAGTGAGATGGTTCGAACTGGGAGCGTGACCAGTGGCAGAGCCGGGACGACACGTCGTTCATTTTGCGACTGTTTGGCGCTTTCTGTATGGACAGGGCTGAAATTGGTTGCTTTTTTTAGTTAAGTCATTGCGCGTACCGAAATCCCGCTTTGTATCAAGGAAGCCTGTGAGTTTGGATGAGAGTGATGCACTCGAAGGCTGATGAACCGAAGGTAAGTGTTTTTCGCCGTGAAAACTGATCGTGCTTGGGTTGAGTTTGCGACGTTTTCACGACCGCGCTCCGTGTGTCCTCCATGTCCGCTGCGGACAAGCACTGTCCGTGTCCGCTGCCGGCAAGCCTCGTCCCGTGTCCGCTGCGAGCGAGCCCTGTCCGTGGCCGCTGCGGACGAGCCCTGTCCAGTGTACGCTGCGGACGAGCCCTGTCCAGTGCACGCTGCGGACGAACCCTGTCCAGTGTACGCTGCGGACGAGCCATGTCCGTGTCCGCCGCGGACGAGCCATCTCCGTATCCGCTGCGGACGAGCCCTGTCCCGTGTCCGCCTCTGACGTGTCCGCGCCGTGTCCGCACAGCTCGTGCATCCTGGACTCGGAGGCGGTGGCGTGGGACACCGAGCAGAAGCAGATCCTGCCGTTCCAGGTGCTCAGCACACGCAAACGCAAGGTGAGACACCTCCATCCCACTCCGCTGAAGTGGCGGCGCGCGCGGTTTGTCGGAGATTGTTTCTGTGGTTGTGCACGTGATAACATAGGCCGGCAAGACCAGCCAGATTATCGGAGCGTACGCTGGAGCATATCCGGATTGGCGATTCTTGTTGGCAACGGAGTGGCAATACCAGCAGGACCCAGATTACTGTTTTTTGCTCCGTTTTGTCTGGAGTTTATAGCTGGCTTGGCTACAATCTGGTCGTTGGCTGAAAAGTCTATGGTCCATCGTTCTGCGTAACACTGCATTAGGCGGTGTGACTTGCCACCCCGATTCGTCCAAATCGCACCCACGGCGTTGTGTTGTACTACATCGTTTCCTGAACCGGCCGAGCGGCACACAGCGGTGGCCGGAGTGACCAAAGTTTCGCGATGTGACCGCCAGGACGCCGGCTCGTCGGAGATCAAGGTGCAGGTGTGCGTGTTCGCGTTCGACTTACTGTTCCTCAACGGGGAGTCCCTCGTCACCCAGTCGTTCGAGCACAGGAGAGAGAGGCTACGCAACAGCTTCAAGGTCATTTCACTCCCGTGGTGTACGGGCTACAAGTGCCTCCGGATAGTCCGGACTGCATGTGCGAATATTGGAAACCATGAAGTAGTGCTATAATCTAACGAGTGTTGTGGGCGTTTTGGGTTCCCTTCACAGGCCAGTATCGGTCTGTTAATTTGCCTATGTATGTTTATCTACTGATGGCTTCTCGGTGGAGCCAAATACCTCTGTTATGTTTTGTCCGTCCGATTCTGGGCAGGGAGTGGTGTGCATTTTTGACATTATGGAGTCGCCTGTCGCGGGTTTGGCCGCTTTCTTCATAACCCCGTCCCAGAGTGCGCCCAGACCACCGTAAAATACAGGTGTCTGGCAGAAGCGACGATTGTTTTCGCCGCGAAAGGGTATTGACATGTAACCTTTTCAAGAAGTGTCAAATATTTACTCTCTTTGGGATGAATGGTATTTGTTCTCTAACTGATATGTCCTTGTATGTCTATGGAGCTTGGTGTGGACAAAATCCAATGTGTGCGTTTCCGTTTTGTAGGGGCAGTACTGATACGATGCGATCCAGGGCATCTATTGCGCCAGCAGCTTTCTATGGCATACTGATGAAATGTCCTCACATCAGAGCAGTATTGTTTTAGCATGCAAGCCGAGAGGATGACCATTTCTTCATGCTCCAGGAGGTGGAGGGTCAATTCACGTTTGCCAAGAGCATGGACTCAACCAATGTGGAAGACATAGCTGAGTTTTTGGATGAGTCTGTGAAAGGTGAGTTGTCATGTCCTTTCCAATGTTTTCGTGTGTTCTGCGGTGTTGCGTTCTCCTTGGACAAAGTGAATGAGCAGTTCTTAGTCATCAGTGTTACAGCGATCAGAAAAACGCAGTTGTTGGCATGCATGGAACCAGCGGAATGTGTTCAGCGCGTGTGCACCGATCGTTTGTTAGGTTAACTTTGCACGTGGTTTGACCGTATAACTGCCTATCAGCTGACCGCGCGCTGCTGAACCGGTGGCGTATCCACGGAACTTGTAAACTATCGAGGGTCGAGAACTTGTGACCGCGCGCTGCTGGGCCGGTGGCGTATCCACGGAACTTGTAAATTGTCGAGGGTCGAGAACTTGTGACCGCGCGCTGCTGAACCGGTGGCGTATCCACGGAACTTGCAAACTATCGAAGGTGGAGGTCCTGTGACCGCGTCCGTTCACATCTGACATCACGTCATCATGACGTCAGAGACTTCACCTCGTCTCGCATCGGCAGGCAACTGCGAGGGCCTGATGGTCAAGACGCTGGACAGAGACGCCACGTACGAGATCGCCAAACGGTCGCGCAACTGGCTCAAGCTCAAGAAGGACTATCTGGACGGCGTGGGCGACACGATCGGTAGGCGGAGGGAGGCTGGGGCTCCTGGGAGAGGGACCCTGGGAGACCGGGGCTCGCGGCTCTTGGAAACTCGTGTCCGGTTTCATGCCGGTCGCCCAACGTTCCAAAATTCGTCCAGTAGGATGAGCAGGGGGTAAATATGAATGCATGCTACCAGAATCCTGGCTCTCTGGCAGCCCCGCACGCAGTTCGTCGACGTTAATCCGTTGCCCTGTGACCCCGACCCAGATATTTGACCTACCCAGCTAATTTGTCAGTCCTGAGGCGCGCAGATACTGGTTGACGGCCGCCCGGTCCGATGCTGATTGGTCTGTTCTGAGCAAGGGAAGGGACCACAGGCAGTGAGCCCAAAGCCGGGTTGTTAAAGCATGAAAAACATCGACATCCCCACCACCTAAGTGGCCGAATAT